GGACACGTGTTGTTCACCCCTAAAACTTTAACACCCCCACAAACACACACCACTCACTATTTCCTTTTTGCTGTTGCTTTTTTGAACGCTTTTTTTTGCCTCCTCATGAGTGGTGGTGAGCGGCCCCCCGGGAAGGGTGACAGCTGCTCAAAGAGCCGCCTGGACCGGTTCTATGAGGTCCTCCCGGCGTTAGGAACACCTCGGCAGCAGCCTGTCCCTCTCTAATTGTTGCTGACTTCGACGCTTCTTTTTAAGTCATCGCTCCTGACGGTAACTTGGGGCGCAGCTCCGGAGAGAGACGTGGGGCTGAGAGCTGTGGCGAGGAGGCTTCCCCCTTTGGGAAGGGAGGTCACCGCTTTGGCTCCTCCGTCTCCTGGGCAAACTGGCTTTAGCAGTGTGCCCCGAGTGTGGCTGCGTGGAGGGGCCGCCTCCCTTCCCATGGGGGAAAGGCAGCTCTGCCACAGCGTTTCGTCTCCCTCCTGGGCGGCAAGAACATGTTTGGGAAGAGCAGACACAGAACTGTGGCAAAAAGTTCAAAATGCTTTGGGCTCTTGTCAGAGCGAGGTGCCTTTAATGATATAAAGTGCTTTTAATTCCCCAAACGAAGTGTTGTGGAAGGCCAGAGTGTGATTAGTAGGTGTTCCTTGGTCAGTGCTACCAGGTTGGCTGCCTCTTGGTTTCATTCGAATGCTTTGACGAGCACGCCTCCCCGTTTATCTTTGCACTGCGTTTGTTTTAGCATTCCCCACTCTCGCCTCTCTCTGGCCTGCCACGCACCCAATGTCTCTTTATCAGAGTTTTATCTGCACTTAAAAATATTCCTGATTTGTCGTTGTTTGTGGTGCATGGGAAGGTGACCGAAAGGATCCGAAATTCAATTTGTCACGCAGGTGAAAGACTCCAGGTTTCTACTTGGGGTCAGAGAAATCACGAAAACCCGCCTGCTCGTAAACATCCCCTTCAGCACTTCTGAAATATTTATTGCTGTCGTACCTAGAACGCACACCATCGGTTCCAGAAACTCCCACCCCACGGAGGCGCTTCGCAAAACGGCCTCTTGTAAAAACAATGCGCTCGCGGAGCGAGGAGAAACTGCAAGGGCACCTTTTATCCCAGGATCTGAGAACATTTCAGCCTTTATGACTCCCTGTAAAGTGTCCCAGCTGGAGGGAGGGGGAAATAGCGGCTTGGGGGTCCAGCAGTGACAGCCGGAGTGCCTCAGCCCCCCGACTGGTGGGGAGGCCTTTGAGATGTGGCTCCTCCAGCAGCCCCCGGGCCCCTGCTCCTGCGACACCATCGAGATGCATTTGTGCCCATCACTCTGCAGTGTTTTGGCCAAAGCCGCTGCTTTTATACTTCTTTCCCCACTGATCCCATAAAGCATGGGGTGCGCCGTCACCTGTGGCAGAACCAAAACGCGGCTGGGGCTCACGGGCACTAAGATGCGCCCAAAAGTGGGTGCAAGGCAGCGTTGGGAGCAGGCAACAAAACCCCCTCTGACCGGCAGTGCGGAGCAAGGTGTCTGGGGTTCCTTGTGTCAGGCAGCGTGCTGGCAGCTGCCGGCAGTGCCGGGCTGGAGTGGGAGCACGTGGGTTACCTTTAAAACGTGTTTCTGCAGAGCAAGGGACTAACGTAACGGGTGCTGCTGCACTGGTCCTGCGCCGCTGCCACCTCTTGTGCCCAACAAAGTTTTTCAACTGCTCCGTACCTCTGGGTCCTGCATGTCCACAGCGCTGGTCCCCGCTCCTTTGAAGTGCTGCGCGTCCCATCTCCCGAGCAATTTTCAAACCTGTTCCTGTAGCTCTGACTTCTCCAGAAAGAATGTGGGAGAGCGGTGTTTCTGCTTGGCTGCTTTGTTGGACAGACCTTGGGCTGCGCAGGCAGGCGTCCGGAGCTGCGGCGCTTCACCTGCGCAAACCCCAGCGTCCTCTGAAAACGGTCTCGAAAATAAAACAGACGTTAAAGTGGGATTTCTGCCTGCCCGCAGGCCTTTTGGTGAAGAGCTTGAGCCCAGAGTCTTGTTCCCTCTTAGAAAACAAATGGATCTTTCCACCCCGGCGCCGTGTGATGGGGGTTGGTGTTAGGTTTAAGGCTGTTTGTCATTCACATGCTTCAACAGCTCCGTGTCTGTGTTTGAATTAAGGGGTCCTGCGTGCGGTGGTCGAAGCAGCAAATTCCGGAGCATCAGTTCTCTGCCTGTGCGAGAAGGGAGATGCCATGATCATGGAAGAGACTGGCAAGATTTTCAAGAAGGAAAAAGAAATGAAAAAAGGTGAGGCCTGCTCCAAAGATTTTTATTTTTTCCAGCGTGGCCATGGTTTTTGCTCCTGTTGGGTGGCTGGTGCGAGTGGGCAAGAGCACAGAACGCGCTGCCCTGTGCTGATCCGTGTAGGAACAGTTTGCTGTTCCCAGAAGGCCCAAATTTTAACCCAAATCCTCCTGCCCGCTCTGCTGGTAAGCATTACTGCTGAGCCTCAGCTTCCAGTTCTGATGCACCCAATCATCGCGCTGTTGTCTAGAGTAACTCTTGCTTCGACGCCCTCCCTTCAGGAAGACCGGCGGTACGGTCATTGCGTGATGCTCGAGCGTCTCGCCAAGAGCTCCCCGATTTCTGTTCCAGAGACCTGAGGTCCCTTTTGCAGGTGCCCCGCCACCTTGGATGCATTTCTTTGACAGTTGCCTGGGCCAAAGGAGAGCCGGTGCCGGAGCAAACCTCGCGCTGCGTTCCTCCTGGCTCTTTGGCTGGAGACTTGCGTAACGGGGCGTTCTATGGCGCTTCAAACGCTTCAGTCCTGCGTGACGATCCGCACTGACGGGGCTGCTGCCTGCTCCTGCTGTGAGGCTGCACGATTTCATGGAGTATTTTTTTTTTTTTTTTTTTTTTCCTCTCCGTAGGTATTGCCTTCCCAACGAGTATATCCGTAAATAACTGTGTCTGTCACTTCTCCCCTCTGAAGAGCGACCAAGACTACATCCTCAAAGACGGAGACTTGGTCAAAATGTAAGCGTCTTGCTTGTACTTCGTGTGAGTTTACCATTGGCATCTGGGCTTTGCTTTCTAAATCCTGTCTGCTGTGGTAAATACTTCCTCGGCGTGGCTGATTAAAGAACCCAATGGGTGAAGCGCTCGAAACACACCCGAGTCCTCTGCTACTTCTAAAAGTCACACAAGTTTCCTGAGCCGTGGCGCCCCACCTGTAATTAACTCTCTTTGTGTTGCAGTGACTTGGGAGTCCACGTCGATGGCTTCATAGCGAATGTAGCACACAGTTTTGTCATAGACGCCTCAAAGGTAGGTTTGTGATGGCGCGGTGCCTCCTGCCGCTGCTGCTGTACGTGCAGGCGAAAGGAGAGATTCAAAAGCTGATGTTTGGGTGCCTCTGGTTCCAAAGGCGGCAGCAGTGGGGAGCCTGGGAGAGGTGTCTGCCTTGTTTTGCAAAAGCGCCGCAGGTCTGATGTCGCAGCAGTGAAAACAGTCCCTTTCCTAAAATTTATTCAGTCCTCTGGAAAATGAGGGCTGACGCGCTGTTTCAACACGTACAATTTTGCAAGGTTACAAACACTTTGAGACAAACCACCCGCCGAGTGGCGTTGCAGTGGGTTATTTGCATGTAGAGTGTCTGGGGCTGTGGGGCGGACTGGGCAGACTGGTTTTGCGGCCCCCTCTACTGGCCGAGGCACAGGGAGCCGAGCGCCGCACTGCTGGGAGTCGCTGCCTTCACCTTTGCAAACTGAGCTCAGGGGTGACCTGTTCCTCGAACCCCCAAACTGGTCCCTGCTGCCCGCTCCTGCCTGAGCACGCCAGCACGGGCTTTTCTCGCTCGGGGCTGAGCCTCGGCATGTGTGGGTGAGGACGCTGCCGTGGCACGCACGGTCTGGTCGGGCACTGTGGAAGTGGCGCTCGCGCGGTGGGAAGTACTGTTGCGTGCATAAAGTTGTCACGTAAGCTTGAGACATGTTTTTAGCTGCAGTCTTGGGAGGAGGGCGGCAGTGCGGGTCTTGGGAATGGTTTTTCTCGGTGGCTGTGTCTGAATGACTTGACGGGAAGAAGAGCGAGGAAAATAAAATCTTGCGAAGAGTATTGAGATCTTTCCAGTCCACGTTTCTGGCTACAGAGTCTTGTTCTGTTTTCAGTCTCTGACAGCGATGCGCTTTACTAAGGCGTCTCTGCTGAAACTCGTGAGCGAGCTGATTTGGTTGTGGCTGACGCTCACCTGCTCGTCTAACGGAGACGAGAGTAACGGTGGAGCTGTGAAGCCAGAAGCCCGTCCGCCTCCGAGCTGGGCTTCCCCCTGGAAAGGGTGTCCAGTGAGGCGGAGAACCTCCATCTCTAGACACTCAGAACAGCGTTCTGGCTAGTAACAGGGACGGGAAAATACCTTAAACAGCCTTTATTTTTCTGTTTTTCCAGGAAAACCCTGTGTCGGGCCGTAAAGCCGATGTCATCAAGGCGGCTCATCTCTGTGCTGAAGCTGCTCTGCGCTTGGTAAAGCCTGGAAACCAGGTGAGTGACTGGTATGGGGGAAAGGACGCCTGGGCGAGGAGCTCCCGCTGCCTGTGCCGCCCTTCCTGCCTGGAAATAAAAGCGTGTGACCTTGCCTGGGAGGAATTGCCCAGCGATGTGGGGAATCTGGAAGCAGCTGCCTGCAGACAGCTGAGCCACGGCTGGGGTGAGCACCGGCCCACTGGGGCGGGTGGCAGAGGCTCTTCTGTCGGCAGCTCTGGCTTCCCTGCGGAGCCTGAGCTCTTCCTTGTGCCATGGTGGCTTCGCAGAGGAGCCTTGGTGCTCCCACTGGCCGGTCCCTTTCTCGCTGAAGACAGCCGGGCACGCACAGCAACTCTGCCAAAAGCGCGCCCTTAAATCTCCCACTTGCACCTCTCCCTCGCCTGGTGCTCAGGCACCTCCTTTGCCGCTGTGCGATGATTCCAAACGTACTCGTGTTGCTCTTGGTTCCTAGCGTGATCCCCAGAGGAGGGGTGGCTTGTGAGAAGGCAGCGGGTGCAGTGCGGGAGGCTGGACTGACCTCGCGTTACGTGTCGATTTTGCTGAGGCAGGATTAAAAACGGAACCCTGACCTTGTTTCTCCTTTTTTTGGAGGTGTTAGAGCAGCAGTTGGTTTGAAAGCCTGCCGGTTTTATCACAGAACGCTGCCGAGTTAAAAAACCTGTCATGCTCGTGGCTTGAATTTTACATCCTTAACGTGTTTTCTTATGTTCTTCATCCAGAACACACAAGTGACAGACGCGTGGAACAAAATAGCCCACTCGTTTCACTGCACGCCGATCGAAGGTAAGGACGGGGGAGCAGCTGGTCGGAGGTAGCGATGTTTCAGCTGCGCGCTAAATCCTGAGCTGCCCTATTCAGATTCTGGGGAATGCTTAACGACTACAAGTCCTGGATGTGCCATGTTTAAGCGCATCGGCCTCTGCTAAAAAAAAAAAAACCCTTCAAAACTCTCTAGGTTCTTCTTCCTTCCTCTATTTCTTTGATTTCTAAAGATGGGTTGATCTAGGGGCAGTGGCTTCCGCAGCTGGTGGGTAGCGTCCCAGCTCGTGGACTCCCTGCTGACCTTGGCCAAATCGCACGGCCTTTTGCTTTCATACTTGACCGCTCGTAGTCAAACCCTCTTTAGTGAATACGTAACGGACCTTGTTTGTAATGCAGCGGCCACTGGGAAAGAAACCCTCGCGGGGGACGTAGTTTCCTTCCTTACAACTCTGAGCCGTCTCGTGCTCCCTTGGCAGCACTGATAATGGGCGAGTGGGAAGGCGCTGGGATGGATTCTAGTAGAAACGAGACCCCTGGCTTCTCGTCTGAAGGGTGGCGAGAGCGCGTAGCCTGACGTTTGGCGCGCGCGGGTGCTTCTCTCCCAGCGGGTGACATCACTGTCAAGCGGTTCTTTCAGCCACCATTGCGTTGGTCCGTTGTTAGTTAAATTTCCTGAAATGCCGTGAAGCTGGCTCGTTCTCTTCGCTCGCCTCAGCCCAGGCTCAGAACATCGGTTCCTTGTGTGGGACGGCTTTGTGGGGCTCCCCAATGCTTTGCTCCTTTCTCTGTGGAAAAACGCGGCATCAGCTGCCGTGAGGAGGCGGCCGCTCGTGCTGTCGAGGGAGTTCAAGCAGCCACTGTTTTGGAAACAGTCGAGGGCCGTAATTATCTA